AACGAGAGCAAGGAAAAGCAAAGGCAGGAAGGAGGCTGGTGTATGGAGAACGTGATAAAAATAAACCACAATCACACAAGGAGAAACAGAAATCTAGGTTACTTCACGGTAACCGGACTCCTCGAAACATATTGTCCGCCACAAAGGAAGCGCGGAGGTGTTGCACGCTCGTGCAGAGCGGGTAGCCCAGGTCTTGGCATGGGCCTGGCAGCAGAGACAGTGCAGAAATGTCACATAAGATGTTATCACAGAATCACGGAATGTTGGGGGTTGGCAGGGACCTCTGTGGGTCACCCAGCCCAACCCCCTGCCCAAGAAGTTCTTCCTCATCTTCAGCTGGAGCTTCCTCGCCTTCAGTTTGTGCCCGTTGCCCCTTGTCCTGTCGCTGGGCACCACTGCAAAGAGTCTGGCCCCATCCTCCAGACCCCCACCCTGCAGATATTTAGAGGCATTTCGAAGGTCCCCTCTCACCCTTCTCTTCTCCAGCCTGAACAAGCCCAGCTCCCTCAGCCTCTCCTCATAGCAGAGATGCTCCAGTCCCCTCCTCATCCTCGTAGCCCTCTGCTGGACTCTCTCCAGTAGCTCCTCATCTTTCTTGAACTGGGGAGCCCAGAACTGGACACAGGACTCCAGATGGGGCCTCACCAGGGCAGAGTAGAGTGGTAGGAGAACCTCCCTTGCCCTGCTGCCCACACTCCTCTTGATGCATCCCAGGATGCCACTGGCCTTCTTGGCACCCAGGGCACGCTGCTGGCTCATGGTCACCCTGTCGTCCACCCGGACACCCAGATGTAAAGAGAGAGATGGAAGAGATCTGTTCTATCGGCCTTTTCACCTCTGTTCCCACACTCGGTTTTAATATTGTCCTTTCTGATGTCTTTTCTAGCCTCACTTCAAGTGATTGCTGCACCAGAGTACTGCACAGGAGAAGAGATCAAATTCTGGACCTGGCATAGCTTTCCTTGCCTGAAGCTCTGCTGTGAACTGTGTTGAGCTGGGAGCATTGAAAAAATAAGGGAATATTTGGGGAAAAAGAATTGAAATATTGAGATATATTGAAAATCAGAAGATTAATTCCTCAAAAAACCCATCCCAAAGGGCTACAAATCAGGCATCCCAGACACAGCGCTCCATTCAAGAGAGAAGCATCGCCTCCCTCTGACAGCAGCTCCTCTCTCTCTAAAACAGGAAAAGATTCACTAAGATTTGCTAAGACTTTGAGTCTAATTGCGAGCAGCGTAAAGCCGAAATCTGCTCTTCCCCACGCGTGAGAAAGCAATTTGTTTGTCCCTCTCGTTAGACAGAGACCTGGCGGGTGAAGACGATGGGAAGCGCAATCACCAGTCAAGTGTTCTGTCATTCCGTGAGCCTTCCTCCCGCATCGCCTGCCAACTGCAAACATGGAAGGGGCTCGTTTTAATTAATACCGGGTCTCAGCAGCCCACTGGAGGCAGTGGCACTTGTTTTCAGGTCATCTGGTCCTAATAGGATCACACTGGGAGGTGATTTGTTGCTAACTGACAGCAGAGATCAGTTAATGAGGGCTGAGGCCTTACAACCCAACGTAATGAACCTCAGGGCTATTTCTATATTATTTGTCATCATACCTTAAAAAAAAAAATGCTCTTGAGGAGATACTGGTTATTAATCCAGATATTTACAATCTAAAACTCACTCCCTGCTCGGGCAGGGTTTTCTCCAGGCTGCTCTACCTTGGGAATCGAGCAGCAGAAAGTGCTGCTACG